CACTCCTGAATTTTACCAAATATTTAAAGAAGAGTTTCTGTTAATTCTAATTTCTGTTAATCTCAAAATTATAAGTGGAGGGACTACTGACAAATTTATTCTATGTGGCCAGAATTAACCTGATATCAAAACCAGATGAAAAATGCATCAAAAAAGAAAACTACTGGCCAATATTTTTACTAAACATAGATGCAAATATTTGCAACAAACTGATAGCAAATTAAATTAGATAATATATTGAAAGATCATTCATTACGACCAACTGAGACTTTTCCCAGGGATGCAAGTATGGTTCAGCATATGCAAATCACTAAATGTGATACATGATGTCAAAAGAGTAGAAGACCAAGTTACATGATTATTTCAAGTTATGCGGAAAAAGCATTTGATAAAATTTTACATTCCTTTACAATAAAAGTCCTCAAAACACAGGGTATAGAAGGAACATACCTCAACATAATGAAGACATATATATCAGAATCACAGCTAGTATCATACTCAATGGGGAAAAACAGGAAGTCATTTTTCTAAGATATTGAATGCAACCAGCATTCCCCCTTTTGCCATGGTTATTCAACATAGCACTGGAAGTTCCAGCTAGAACAATCAAGATAAAGAAAAAAAGTGCATCCAAATTGGAAAGAAAGAAATCAAATTATTTTTCCAAATATCGAATTACCCTTGTTTGCAGAAAAATGTGAACATTTTGCAAAATGACTATTATAAATGATAAACAAATGCAGTAAAGTTGCAGGATATAAAATCAACATACAAAAATCAGCAGCATTTTTATATGCCAAAAGCAAACAATCTTATACATAAATGTAAACAAATACTATTTATAATAGCTACAAATAAAATTAAATATCTAAGGATTAACTTTGTCAAATAAGTGAAAGATCTCTACAATACAAACTGCAAAACACTGTTGAAAATAACTGAAGAGGACATCAAAATTTGAAAAGATATTTCAAGTTCATGTATTGGAAGAATCGATACTGTTAAAATGTTTGCACTACACAAAGCAATCTACAAATTCAATGCAAGACTTCTCAAAATATCAATGGCATTCTCCACAGACGTAGCCAAGACAATGTTAAAACTTATATGGAACTAAAAAGACCAAGAATAGCCAAAGCAATTGGAGGAATCACATTACCTGATTTCATATTACACTGCAGGGCTCTAGTAATCAAAACAGAAGAGTATTGACATAGAAAAAAACATGTAGAACAATAGAACAAAATAAGAACTCTTCAAAATTTATATATTTACAGTGAATTTATTTTCAACAAATATACCAACAGCATGCATTTTGGAAAGGAAATTTCCATCAAAAAATGGTGGTGGGACAACTTCATATCCATATACAGGTGAATGAAACTAAATGCTTATTTCTCACAATATAAAAAAGTCAAATCAAAATGAATTAAAATTTTAAATGTAAGTACTCAAACTATGAAACTACTGAAATAAAACTTTGGGAAAACTCTCCAGGGCATTGGACTGGGCAAAAATTATTTTGAGCAATACCCTACAAGCACAAGCAACCAAAGAGAAAGTGGACAAACAAGATCAAGTTAAAAAGCTTCTGCTCAGGAAAATTAAAAAAGCCAACAAAGTGAAGAGACAACCCACAGAATGGGAAAAATAAATTACAAATTACCCATCTTACAAGGGAGAAATAACCAGAATATATAAAAAGCCCAAAAAGCTCTATAGAAAAAATCCTAATAATCTGATCAAAAAGTGAGCCAACCAACAGTCTGCATAGACATTTCTCAAAAGAAGACACAAATGTCAAACAGGCATATGAAAAGATGCTCAACATCATTAATAATCAGGGAAATGCAAATCAAAACTACAATAAACTATTAACTCACACCAGTTAAGACAGTTTTTATCAAAATGATAGGCAATAACAAATGTAGGTTAAGATTTGAAGAAAATATAACTCTTGTGGAATGTTGATGGGAAGGTAAGTTAGTACAATCACTATGGAGAACAGTTTGGATGTTTCTCGAAAAAAGTAAAAATTGAGACACAGGGAGGAAAACATAACACACTGGGGCCTTCCAGTGGGTGGGGGGAGGGGGAGGGATAGCATTAGGAGAAATACCTAATATAGAGATGGGTTGATGGGTGCAGCAAACCACCATGGTACATGTATACCTGTGTAACAAACCTGCACATTCTTCACATGTACCCCAGAGCTTAAAGTATAACAATAATAATAATAATAACAACAATTGAGCTACCATGTGATGAAGAAATTTCACTGCTAGGTATATACCTAAAAGAAAGAAAATCAATACATCGAAGATATATCTGCACTCTTATATTTGTTGCAGCATTGTTTACAATAGGTAACATTTGGAAGCAGCCTAAGTGTTCATCAGCTGATGAGTGAATAGAGAAAATGCGGTACCTATATACAATAGAGTACTATTTGGGCATAAACAGAATGAGATCCAGCCGTTTGCAATAACATGGATGGAACTGGAGATTATTATGCTTAATGAAATAAGCCAGGCACAGAAAGACAAACATCACATGTTCTCACATATTTGTGGGATCCAAAAATTAAAGCAATTGAACTCATGAACACAAAGAGTAGAATGAAGGTTACCAGAGTCTGGGAATGGCAGTGGAGCCAGCAGGGAGGTGGGGATGGTTAACTGGTACAATAAAATTAGAAAAAATGAATAAGACCTACAATTTGATAGCACAATAGGGTAACTATAGTCAATGATAACTGAATTGCATATTTTTTAAAAAACTTAAAAGGAGTAATTAAATTGTTTGCAACTCAAACAATAAATGTTTGAGGGAATATATACCCCATTCTCTATGATGTGCTTATTTTGTAATGCATGAATGTGTCAAGACATCTTATGTACCCCATAAATATGTACAGCTGCTAAATACCAAAAAAAAAAATTTTAATAAATAAAAATTTAAAAAATTTATAAAAAGGCAATAACAAATGCTGGCGAGGTTGTGGAGCAAAGAAAAGCCTTTTACAGTGTTGGTGGAAATATAGCTTACTACAAGTACTATGGAGAGTTTGGAAGTTCTTCAAAAAACTAAAATTAAAGCTACCATTTGATGTAGCAATCCCAATTTTAAGTATATACCCTCCAAAAGGAAATCAGTATATCAAAGGTATATCTTCAGCCAAGATTTGGAAACAAACTAAGTATCCATAAGCAGAAAAATAAAGAAATTGTGGTATGTATACAAAATGGAATACCATTTAGGCATGAAGAAGAATGAGATCCTGACTTTTACAGCAACATGATTGCAACTGGAGGTCACCATTTTAAATTAAATAAGCCAGGCACAGAAAGACAAACTTCTCATATTCTCACTTATTTGTTGAAGCTAAAAATTAATACAACTGTACTTATTGAGATAGATAGTAGGATGATTGTTACTAGAGGCTTTAAATATTAGTGGGAGGGTAAGGGGGAAGTGGGAATGGTTGATGGGTATACAAAATAGAAAGAAAGAAAAAGATTAGTATTTGATAGCACAATGGGGTGATTATAGTCAATAATTATTTAATTGCAAATTTTAAGATAATTAAAATTGTGTAACTGAATTGTCTGTAACACAAAAGATAAATACTTGAAATAATGGATATCTCATTTACCCTGATGTAATTACTATATATTGCATTCCTGTATCAAAATATGTCATATACCCATAAATACATACACCTACAGTATACTCACAGAAATTTTAAAAAGTTCTTTTAAATTAAAACATAACCGTATCAAATTATAGTATCTTAGTGATCAATTATTTATTTATTATTTGCTAAAGGCCTATTATGGGCTATGCACAGGGCTGAGCAGTATTGATACAATCAGAGGCAAAACTGACGTATCTCCTTCTCTCATGGAGCTCAAGCACATGGCAAAAACTTCTCCCTTCATTAGCCCAGAGCAGCCCACAGTTTAGATTGAGTATAAAATTAGAAAAGGATACTATTTTCAGACCACTGGGCAAGAAGTCCAGAGATGGCTGTTGTAACAGTCTACTCTTGTTTCCACAGCATTGGCCATTGGTTACTGAAAAAGAGTAAGTTGTGGAAACCTAGAAAAAATAACTGCCCTTTAATTAAACTATAGTTTCAATAGTTGATTCCGGTTAATTGCAATTTGATTGCCCTGTGGTCTGAAAGACTGTTGGTTATGATTTCCATTCTTTTGCATTTGCTGAGGAGTGATTTATTTCCAATTATGGGGTCAGTGTTAGAGTAGGTGTCATGTGGTGCTGAGAAGAATGTATATTCTGTGGATTTGGGGTGGAGATTTCTGTAGATGTCTATTATGTCTGCTTGGTCCAGATCTGAGTTCAAGTCTTGGATATCCTTGTTAATTTTCTGTCTCATTGATCTGTCTAATATTGACACTGGAGTGCTAAAGTCTCCCACTATTATTGTGTAGGAGTCTAAGTCTCTTTGTAAGTCATTTAGAACTTGCTTTATGTACCGGGTGCTCCTGTATTAGGTGTGTATATATTTAGGATCTGTAGTTCTTCTTGATGCATTTATCCTTTTGCCATTATGTAATGCCCTTCTTTGTCTCTTTTGATTTTTGTTGGTTTAAAGTGCATTTTATCAGGGACTAGCATTGCAACTTCTGCCTTTTTTTGCTCTCCATTGCGTGATAAATATTTTTCCATCCCTTTACTTTTAGCCCATGTGTGTCCTTGCATGTGAGATGCATTTCCTGAATACAGTACACTGATGGGTCTTGACTTTTTAACCAGTTTGCCAGTATGTGTCTTTTCATTGGGGCATTTAGCCCATTTACATTTAAGGTTAATATTGTTATGTGTGAATTTGATTCTGCCATTTTGATGCTAGCTGGATATTTTGCCCATTAGTTGATGCATTTTCTTCATTTTGTCAATGATCTTTACCATTTGGTACATTTTTGGAGTGGCTTTTACTGGTTGTTCCTTTCCTTGTTTAGTGCTTCTTTCAGTAGTTCTTGTAAGGCAGGCCTGGTGGTGGCGAAATCTCTCAATTGCTTCTCCATAAAGGATTTTCTTTCTCCTTGCTTATGAAGCTTAGGTTGGCTGGATATGAAATTCTAGGTTGAAAGTTCTTTTCTTTAAGGATGTTGAATATTGATGCCCACTATCTTCTGGCTTGCAGGGTTTCTGTCGAGATCTCTGTTCTGAGTCTGATGGGCTTCCCTTTGTGGGTAACTTGACCTTTTTCTCTGGCTGCCCTATGTATTTTTTCCTTCATTTCAACTCTGGTGAATCTGATGATTATGTCCCTTGGGGTTGCTCTTCTTGAGGAATATCTTTGTGGTGTTCTCTGTATTTCCTGGACTTTAATGTTGGCCTGCCTTGCTAGGTTGGGGAAGTTCTCCTGGATCATATCCTGAAGAGTGTTTTCCAGCTTGGATTCATTCTCTCCTTCACATTCAGATACACCTATCAGATGGAGTTTGGGTCTTTTCTCAATTCCTTATTTCTTGGAGGCTTTGCTTATTTCTTTTCACTCTTTTTTCTCTATTCTTGCCTTCTCATTTTATGTCATTGAATTGATCTTCAATCTCTGATATCCTTTCTTCTGCTTGGTTGATTTGGCTATTGAAACTTGTGTATGTTTCACAAAGTTCTTGTGCTGTGTTTTTCAGCCCCATGAAGTCATTTATATTCTTCTGTAAGCTGTTTATTCTAGTTAGCATCTCATCTAACCTTTTTTTTCTAGATTCTTAGTTTCTTTGCATTGGGTTAGAACATGTTCTTTTGGCTCTGAGAAGTTGTTATTACCCACTTTCTGAATCTTCTTTCTGTTAATTCATCAGATTCATTCTCCATCCATCATTGATCCCTAGCTGGTGAGGAGTTGTGATGCCTTGGAGGAGAGGTATTCTGTTTTTTGATGTTTTCATCCTTTGTATGCTGGTTTCTTCCCATCTTAGTGGCTTTATCTACCTGTGGTCTTTGTAGATTTTGTTGATGTTGAAGATATTTCTTTCTGTTTCTTAGTTTTCCTCCTAATAGTCTGGCCCCTCTGCTGCTGGATTGCTGGAGTTCCACTCCAGACCATGCCTGCCTGGGGATCACCCATGGGAGCTGCAGAACAGTAAGGGTTACTGCCCATTTCTTCTTCTGTTATCTTCATCCCAGAAGGGTACCTGCCAGATGTCATCCTGAGCTCTCCTTTATGAGGCATCTCTTTGGGTATATGGGTGTTGGGGAGCTACTTGAGGAGACAGTCTGTACCTTATAGGATCTCAAGTGCTGTGCTGGGAGCTCCGTTGTTCCATGCAGAGCTGCTAGGCAGGAACCTTAAAGTCTGCTGCAGCGGAACTCGTAACTGCTTCTATTCCCATGTGCTCTGTCCTAGGAAGGCCAGCTTTATTTATAAGTCCCTGAGGTGCTGCTGCCTTTTTTCATAGATGCCCTGCCCCACACAGAGTAGTCTTGTCAAGTCTACCACCAGAGGTGTTGCTGAGCTGCTGCAGGCTCTGCCTAGCTGCTGTGTGAACTACCTTGGTAGTGGTGGTGGCCCTTCCCTCCACTGAGCTGGACCGTCCTGGGTCCATCTGCACTTGCTGCAAAACTCTCAATCTAGAGCTTTTCAGATTGTTTTATGGGGGTGTAACTGCAGAGCAAGATTGCCTGGCTCCCTGTCTCTGTCCCCTGCCTTTCAGTTGAATGGGTGTCTATGTCTCCCAGGCATTCCCAGGGCCAGTCGAAATAGTCTCCCAGATTTGTGTGAGTTTCTGTGTGCTGACCCAGCACTGACTGAAACTGCCATTCTGAAAACTTGTGGTGCTTTTCAGCACGGAAATCTCCTGGTCTGTGAGCAGTGAAAACTTGTTTGGCATTGCGGTTGGCACTCACCCTCTGTGTTGTTCTTTCTGGAAACTGCACTCTGGAGCTGTTCCTATTCAGCCTTCTTGGATCCACCCAATGTGTGGTCTTATTTTTGAGACCTCTATTCTGTTCCATTGGTCTTTGTGTCTGTTTTTGTGCCAGTACCATGCTGTTTAGAGTATTGTAGACTTGTAGGGTACTTTGAAGTTGGGTAGTGTGATGCCTTCAGTGTTGTTCTTTTTGCTTAGGATTTTCTTGTCTATACGGGCTCTTTTTGGTTCCACATAAATTTTAATGTATTTTCTTAATTCTGTGAAAATATCAATGGTGGTTTAATGGGAATAGCATCAAATCTATAAATTGCCTGGAGCAGTATGGCCATCTTCATGATATTGGTTCTTACTGTCCATGAACATGAAATATTTTTCCATTTGTTTGTGTCCTTTCTGATTTCCTTGAGCAGTAGTTTGTAGTTCTCCTTGAAGAGGTCCTTCACTTCTCCTGTTAGCTATAGTCTTAGGTACTTTACTCTCTTTTTAGCAATTGTAAATGAGAGTTTATTCATGATTTGGCTCTCTGCTTGTCTATTTTTGGTGTATAGGAATGTTTGTGATTTTTGCACATTTATTTTCTATCCTGAGACTTTGCTGAAGATGCTTATCAGCTTAAGGAGCTTTTGGGCTGAGACGATGGGATTTTCTAGATATAGGAACATATAATCAGCAAAGAAAGATAATTTAACTTCCTCTCTTCTTATTTGAACATCCTTTATTTCTTTCTCTTTCTTAATTGCCCTGGCCAAAACTTCCAATACTATGAGGAATAGAAGTGGTGAGAGAAGGCATCTTGTCTCATGCTGGTTTTCAAGGGGAATACTTTCAGCTTCTGCCCATTCAGTATGATATTGGCTGTGAAGTTTGTCATAAATGGCTTTTTTATTTTAAGATATATCCCATCAATGTCCAGTTTATTGAGAAATTTTAATATAAAGGGATATTGAATTGTATCAAAGGACTTTTCTGCATCTATTGAGATAATCATGTAGTTTTTGCCTTTAGTTCTATTTATGTAATGAATTACACTTATTTATTTGCATTTTTGAATCAGGCTTGCATTCCAGGAATAAAGCCAAATTTATCATGGCGGATATGCTTTTTAAGGTGCTGCTGGATTCCATTTGCCAGTATTTTATTGAGGCTTTTTGCATCGATGCTCATCAAAAATATTGGCCTGAAGTTTTCTTTTTTTGTTGTATCACTGCCAGGCTTTGGTATGAGGATGATGCTGGCCTCTTAATAAGAGTTAGGGAGGAGTTCCTTCTTTTCAATTGCTTGGAATAGTTTCTGAAGAAGTGGTATAGCTCTTATTTGTACCTGTGGTAGAATTTAGCTGTAAATCCATCTGGTTCTGAGCTTTCTTTGGTTGGAAGGCTATTTATTACTATCTCAATTTCAGAACTTGTTATTGGCCTATTCAGGGATTCAACTTCTTCCTGGTTTAGTCTTGGGAGGGTGTATGTGTCCAGAAATTCATCCATTTCTTCTAGATTTTCTAGTGTATTTGCATAGTGCATAGTGGTGTTTATAGTATTCAGTGATGGTTGCTTGTATTTTTGTGGGATAAGTAGTGATATCTTTTTTATCATTTTTTATTGTGTCAATTGAACTATTATTGTTTTTAATTTTTATTAGCATAGCTATCAGTATATCTATTTTATCAAAAATTTTAAAAATAACCAGCTCCTGGCTGGGTGCAGTGACTCACACTTGTAATCCCAGCACTTTGGGAGGCCAAGGCGGTCGAATCATGAGATCAGGAGATCGAGACCAACCTGGCCAACATGGTGACACCCCAACTCAACTAAAATGCACATACACAAAAAAGTTAGATGGGCGTGTTGACATGCCTCTAATCACACCTACTTGGGAGGCTGAGGCAGGGGAATCACTTGAACCTGAAAGGCGAAGGTTGCAGTGAGCTGAGATCATGCCATTGCACTCCAGTCTGGTAACAGAGTGAGACTCTGTAAATAAATACATACACAAATTAAATTAATTAATTAAACAGCTCTTGAATTTATTTTTTTTTTTTGAAGGATTTTTGTGTCTCTATCTCCTTCAGTTCTGATGTTAGTAATTTCTTGTCTTCTGCTAGCTTTTGAATTTCTTTGCAATTTGTTTTCTAGCTCTTTTAGTTGTGATGCTAGGATGCTGATCTGAGATCTTTCTAGCTTTCTAATGTGGGTATTTAGTGCTGTAAATTTCCCTCTTAACATTGCTTTAGCCGTGTCTCAGAGATTCTGGTACATTGTCTCTTTGATCACATTCGTTTAAAATAACTTCTCCATTTCCGCCTTAATTTTATTATTTACCCAGGAATCATTCAGGAGCGGGTTGTTCAATTTCCAAGGAGTTGTGTGGTTTTGTGTGTTTATTAATCTTGAGTTCTAATTTGATTGACCTGTGGTCTGAGAGACTGTCTGTTATGATTTCAGCTCTTTTGCATTTGCTGGGGAGTGTTTTACTGCCAATTGTGTGACAGATTACAGAGTAAGTGCCATGAGGCACTGAAAAAAATGTATGTTCTGTTGGTTTTGGGCGTAGAGTTCAGTAGATATCTACCAGGTCCACTTGATCCAGAGCTGAGTTCAAGTAACAAGTTCAAAACTTGTTATTTTTCTGTCTTGATGATCTGTCTTATATTGACAATGAGGTGATACAGTCTCCCACTATAGTTGTGTGAACGTCTAAGTCTGTTTGGAGATCTCTAAGCACCTGTTTTGTAAATTTGCATGCTTCTGTATTGGGTGTATATATATTTAGGATAGTTAGCTCTTCCTGTTGAATCAATGCCTTTACCATTATGTAATACCCTTCTTTATTTATTTATTTTTTTAAATCTTTTTTTGGTTTAAAGTCTGTTTTGTCATAAATTAGGATTGCAACCCCTAGTTTTTTTCTGCTTTCCAATTACTTGGTAAATTTTCCTCCGTCTTTTTATTTTTAGCCTATGTGTGTCTTTACATGTGATATGGGTCTCTTGAATATGACACAGCAATGGGTCTTGAGTCTTTATCCAGTTTGCCATTTCATGTCTTTTAATTGGGGCATTTAGCCCATTTACATTTAAGGTTAATACTGCTTTGTGTGAATTCGATCCTGCCATCATGATGCTAGCTGGTTATTATGTAGACTTGTTGATGCAGTTGTTTCATAATGTCATTCATCCTTGTATTTCAGTGTATTTTTGCAGTGGCTGGTAATGGTTTTTTCTTTCTACATTTAGTGCTTCTTTTAGGAGCTCTTGTAAGGCAGGCCTTGTGCTGATGAATTCCCTCCACATTTGCTTCTCTGAAAAGGATTTCATCTCCTTTTTGCCTATGAAGCTTAGTAAGCTGGATATGAAATTCTGGGTTAAAAATTATTTTCTTCAAGAATGTTGAGTATTGGCCTTTGATCTCTTCTGGCTTGTAGTGTTTCTGCTGAGAAGTCTGTTGTTAGTCTGATGGGCTTTTCTCTGTAAATAACTTGGCTGCCCTTAACATTATTTCCTTCATTTTGACCTTGGAGAATCTAATGATTGTGTCTTGGGGTTGACCTTCTCATAGAATTTCTTACTTGGGTTATCTGGATTTTCTGAATTTGAATGTTGGCCTGTCTTTTTAGGTTGAGGAGGTTCTTTTGGGTGATATCCTGAAGTATATTTTCCAACTTGGTTCCATTCTTCTCATCTCTTTCAGGTAGCCCTATCAGTTGTAGGTTCAGTCTTTTGACATAATCCCATAGTTCATGGAGGTTTTGTTCATTCCTTTTCTCTTTTTCACTGTAATTTTGCCTGCCTGCCTTATTTCAGTAAGATAGTCTTCATGCTCTAAAATTATTTTCTCTGCTTGGTCTATTCATTTATGCTCTTCTCTACACTGGTTATTATGGTTAACAGTTCCTGTGATGTTTTATCATGGTTCTTATCATCTTTGCATTGGTTTAGAACATTCTCCTCTAGCTCAGTGAAGGTTTTTATTACTCACCTTCTGAAGTTTACCTCTGTCTGTTCATCCATATCAGCTTCCACCTAGTTCTGTGTCTTTGCTGGAGAGGTGTTGCAATCATTTATAGGAAAAGAAGCACTTGGGCTTTTGGAGTTTTCAGTATTTTTAATTTGATTCTCATCTTCATGAGTTTGTCTAGTTTTGATCTTTGAGCTGTTAACTTTGGATGTGTTTTTTTGTGGGGAATTTTGTGAATGTTGTTGTTGCTTTTTGTTTGTTTTTCTTTTAACAGTCAGGTTCCTCTTCGGTGGGGCTGCTGCAGTTTGCTGGGGGTTCACTCCAGGCCCTATTCACCTGGATCCCACCTGCACCGGTATATGTCACCTGAGGAGGCTACAGAACAAGAAAGATGGCTGCCTTTTCCATTTTCCGAGATATCTGTTCCAAAGGGGCACTGATCTGATGCCAGCAGGAATGTACTTTTATAAGGTGTCTGGCAAACCTTGTTGGGAAATCTCACCTAGTTGGGGTCACAGGATTGGCAACCCACTTAACTAGCACTCTGGCTGCCCCTTAGTGGAGAGGTTTTGCTGTGTTCTGGGGTGTCCCACATATCTGGGCTGTTCAGATTATTTAGAGCCAGTAGGGAGAAAGACTAAATCTACTGATCCATGGAGACCACAGCCACCCAAGGGCTGATGCCCAGGGAGATCAGAGTTGTCACTATAGTCCATGGCTGGAGTTGCTGAAATTCCTGCAGGGAGTCACCACCTGGTGAGAAAGAAAGAGACAAAGACCATCCTAAAGAGGCAACCTGGCCATGATCTGCCACAGTTGGTGTGCTGGACTCTGGGGAATTCCTGCTGTGTTCAAACCATCCAGTCTCCACACCACCAACAGGGGAATAATGGCAGACTGGAGCTACAGTGATGGCTGCTGCCAGTCCCCAAGTGACCAGTTATCTTAGACAGCAAGCAGCCACAGTGATTATGGCTGTCCCCCTACTTGGGAACTCAGTAGTCTTAGGCAGTCTCCAGCCTAAGTCTTGCAGCTATTATTGTATTGGGAGCCTCTCTTTAGCTCTAATAATATTTGCTTTATATATCTGGGTGCTCCAGTGTTGGGTGTATATATATTAATATTTAAAATTGTTATATCCTCTTGCTGAATTGATACTTTATCTGATATAGTGGGTCTTTTCTTTTAGTTTTCATCTTAAAATCTATTTTGTCTGATATAAGTATAGTGATTCCTGCTCTGTTTTGGATTCTATTCACATGGAATATATTTTTACATCCCTGCATTTTTAGTCTATGTGTGTCTTTATAGGCAAAGTGTGTTTCTTGTAAGCAACAGATCAATGGGTCCTTTTTCATCCATTCAGCCACTCTATGACTTGATTGGAGAGTTTGGCCCATTTACTTTCAATCTTATTATAGATAAATAAAGACTTACTGTTGCCATTTTGTTATTTGCTTTCTGGTTGTCTTGTGGTCTTCTCTTTCCTATTTCCTTCCTTCCTGTGTTCCTTTAGTGATGGTGATTTTCTCTTTTGATATGATTTAGTTTCTTGCATTTTATTTTATTTGCATCCATTCTATGTTTTCTGGTTTGAGGTCACTGTTAGGCTTTCAAATACTATCTCATAACCCATTATTTTATCCCAATAACAAGTTAACACGGTTTTATAAACAAACTAACAAATGCGGAAAAAAAAAACCCTAATAAACACTCTAAGCCTCAACTTCATCCCCCTATTTATTAATTTTTTTGTTGTTTATATTTATATCTTCTGGTATGGCCTACATCTTGCAAAGATTTGTGGTTGCTATTTTGGATTTCCTAATTGTTTAGTTTTTCTACTTAAGATAAGAGTAGCTTACAAAACACAGTTATAGTGTTACAATAATTTGTTTTTGTGTACTTATTATTACTAGTAAGTTTTGTATGTTCAGATAATTGCATGTTACTTATTAACATCATTTTCTTTCTGATTGAGGAAGTTTTTTAAGCATTTATTGTAGGAAAAGCCTTGTGTTGATAAAATTCTTCAGCTTTTGTTTGTCTGGTAAAGTATTTTTCCTTCATGATTGAAGGATATTTTCACTGCATACACCATTCTAGGATATCTTTTCTCTTCAGCAATGTAAATATGTGATGCCATGCTTTCCTGGTCTGTAAGTTTTCCACTGAAAAATTTATTGCCAGGTGTATTGGAGCCCCATTGTATCTTATTTATTTATTTTATTTTGCTGCTTTTAGGATCCTTTCTTCATGCTTAATTTTTCAGAATTTGATCATTAAATACCTTGAGGTGGTCTTCTTTGGGTTGAATCTGCTTGGCATTCTGAAACCTTCTTGTACTTAAAAGTTGATATCATTTTTTTGATTTGGGAAGTTCTCTGTTCTTATATTTTTGAACACACTTTCTACCCCCTATTTCTCTCTCTACCTCCTCATTAGGTCCAATAACAATTAGAATTGCCCATTTGAGGCTATTTTCCAGTTCCAGCAGGAATGCTTCATTGTTTTTTATTCCTTTTACTTTTGTCTATTCTGACTGTGTATTTTCAAATAGTCTCTCTTCAAGCTGATTTTTTTCTGCTTCATCAATTCTGCTGTTGAAAGACAATGTGCATTCTTTAGTATGCCAATTGCATTTGCCAGCTCCAGATTTTTTGTTTGATTCTTTTTTAAATCTCTTTGTTAAACTTATCTGATAAAATTTTGAATGTCTTTTCTACATTACCTTGAATTTATTTGAATTTCTTCAACACAACTATTTTGAGTTCTCTCTCTGAAAGGTCACATAGCTCTTTTTCTCAAGGATTGATCCCTGCTGCTTTGTTTAATTCATTTGGTGAGGTCATATTTTCCTGGATAATGTTGATGTTAGTAGATGTTTTTCAGTGCCTGGGCATTGAAGAAGTAACTATTGTAGTCTTCAGTCTCTGGGCTAATCTGTACCTGTCCTTCTTGGAAAGGCTTTCCAGACATCTAACAGGATATGGATGTTGTAATCTAAGCTGTATCTGCTTTGAGGGCATCCAAAGCCCAGTAACACTGTGGTTCTCTTAGGCTTGCAGAGGTACTGCCTTTATGGCCATGGGCATAATTGTGGAGAATTCTCTGGATTACCAAGCTGAGATTCTTTCTGTCTTCCCTTACTTTCTTCCACACAAAGGGAGTCTTGCTCTCTCTATTCTGAGACACCTAAAGCTGAAAGTCGAGTGACACAAGCACCCTGGGGCCACCACCACTATGACTGCACTGGGTCAGATCTCAAGCTAGCACAACTATGGGTCCAAATCCAGGCCTGCTGTAACCACTCCCTGTCTACCACCTTTTTACTTAAGGCCCTAGGACTCTACAATCAGGAGGTAGCTAATCCAACCAGGCTTGTGTTCTTCCGTTCAGGTCAACTAGTTCTCTCAGGCCCCAGCTGTGTCCAGAGGTACTACATGGGTATCAGGAACTGAGTCAACAACCTTAGAATTCTACCTTGTGTTCTATTGTACTGCAGCTGAGCTGGCACTCAAACTATAAGATACAGACCTTCCCATTCTTCCCTCCCTTTTCAAAGGTATTTTACCAGAGAGACACTGCCACCGTAGGTCACAGAGTACTCCCTGACTATTGCTAGTGTTTCCTTAAGGCCCAAGGGCTCTTAAGTCACCTTATGGTGAATTTTACCTTGCCTGGGATTCATGCTTTAGGGACGTGGGCTCCCCTTTGCCAGAGAAAGTCCCAAAGTGCCATCCAAGAGTCAAGTCCTGGAATCAAGGACCCCAAGAGCCCACTTCATGCTCTATCTCCCTGTGTCCATGCTGGTGCCTGAAGCCAGCAAGCCTCAAAATCTCACCCAAAGCCCTTGACACAGTACCTGGGTATTGTTGCTGGCTATTCAGGGCCCCAGGGCTCTCCATTTAGCAGGTGACAAATTCTTCCAAGGCTGGGTCATTCCCTTCAAGGCAGCAGGTTCCCTTCTGGCTGATTGTGTGTCTAAAAATGTCATCCAGGTGCTAGGGCCTGGAATGAGGGCCTTATGACTCTGACCAGTGCCATGCCCTGCTGTGAGTGAGCTGGTATCCAAGATCCAGGACAAAGTCCTCCCCACTCTTTCCTCTCCTCTCCTCAAGTGGAAGGAAGAGGTCTCTATTGGAGGTGCAAGCTGTGCAGCCTAGGGTTACAAGAAGGGTGATACCAGCACTTCCTTAGCTGTCCCAGCTGGTGTCTCAGTAGGTAGGATGCTTCCCCCTTCCACTGTCTCTGGGCCCAGTTCAGCCCTAGGACTCATCTAAGACTTTAAGTCTTTGTAGCCCCGACTGCCTTTCAAGCTTACTTAGAGATTCAGAGCAGTTTATACCTCAGTGGTGAGGTTTGCAAGAACTCAAGTTTAGATGGCTAGGGCTGGTTGAAATGCTCCCTCTGAAGATGGGTGTCAATTGAGTTTTGTCAAGTTT